AATCCATATTCCTTTGTTTTCCAAAGTCATTAAATATAAGGGATATCCTTGTCTTGACAATTCTAAATCCTCAATCTGATTACATCTTTATATGTGTATGAATATTTTGCATTGGAAAGTGCTGTTACGTACCCTTCTCAAAGTAATAAATTTTTAGTGGCATTATATTGTCTACAAAATGTCAAACAATGTCAATATAAATTTCTGATACATATAATTCCACTACTTCTTGATATTGGCTGTGGTTGTCACGTGACTTGTTGATTTACATATTCTAAATTGTTATAGATACAGCTATTTATAAATAATATTGAAAGACTTAAAACACCGTCCTCACATTTGATCAAGGACAAATAAATATTTCCAAATAAACAAGTCCAGCACCCATAAGTGCCAACATGTTCAGTGGCTGAAGAGGGAGGGGGTTCCGAGGGAAAATGTTGTATAAAGAATCATTATTTTGATTCATCATTAGGACCAATAGAGATGAAATAAATTCAAGGGTATCTTTCCTGTAACCCAATAATAAGTGAGAAAACTGCGATTTTATCAATTCCCCCTGTCAATATGTTAGAGTGCCTTTTAAATAATTATGCAACAATGAAATATCAAAGAAACTATGGCAATATGGGTATAAAATGAATGATCTTGATAAATAAATAAATCCCAATTATTTATGTAATTCCTGTCATACATTGATGATAATCAGAATATATGGTAGATCATTATATCTTATGTCTGGTGTATTCGAAATCTAATAGTATAATATCCATATAACTAAATACCAATATACGCATCCAAATAATTTCAAGAAGGTACATTTATGTTACAATGTTCTGTAATGTAGTTCTCTTTCAGTTTCAGATGAGATGTATAATATTACCATTCAGTACATATATTCTAAATATAGTGACTATGTAAGTGAAACCTCTATTTTATGTCAAATACTCACTTTTAAGTCTCTTCGTTATTATCCATCGTATATAAATACTGAGTCAATTAATTTTTTTCTTTGTTTTTTTTTCATCACAGGAAACAGAAGAAGATACCCGTGGTGGGCAGAGCACAGATAGCCCATTGTGTAGCTTTGTGTTTAATTACAAACAAAACTTATTGTCGAGGTAAGAAAAGGCTAGATGACAAAAGTTTAAGATTTGGAAAAGACAGGATAAGCTACAGTTTAGACAGTTATATTTTTCTAAAAGGGATTATTATTTTATAAAGTGAATTGTCACCAACAATAGTGGAGACAGGCACCTTTCAAGAGTTGAAGAGTAGAATCAATGAATTCTTGGTATATAAAGAGTATTGTTACGTCTCCGTTTGTTAATTAACTTTCCGTAACTTCGTTCCGACGAAACTTTAGCGACACAAGTCCTTACTTAAT